AAGACAGTAAACAAAATGGAATTGGTTTGATCACTTGAGGGAAATGGGTAAAGAATATGCAAAGGAAGTTCAAAATGGAAAAATACAAATGACCAATAAACAGTAGCATATAATGTTCACTTATAAGTAACCGGCAAAATAAAAATGAAAACCCTATGATATATGTTCTAGATAAAAGACTGCTCATTCTTTTATTGTTGAAAGAGTGGGGAAATGGCTACTTATATATTCTCTTGGGGATAAAAACTAACTTCTATAAGGCAGTTTGAAAATATGTTTGACAAGATTTAAAATTGTACAGCTTTGACCAAACAATGTTGTTTTTAGAAATTTACTCTAAAAAATAATGACAAGTGTGTGAACATATATATTCACATGCATATATTGCATGTATTTGTGTGTATTATTAAACAGTGTTGCAATAAAATACATTTGTATGTGTGAGTATGAATATATATATATAGAGAGATAGAGAGTCAGAAACATCGATGAGAGAGAAACATCGATCAGCCGCCTCCTGCACATCCCCCACCGGGGATGTGCCCGCAACCCAGGTACATGCCCTTGACCAGAATCGAACCTGAGACCTTTCAGTCCGCAGGCCGACGCTCTATCCACTGAGCCAAACCGGCTTCGGCGAGTATGAATATATTTTTATAACAACAGTATTTATAATATAAAATACTGAGAACCATTTAAACATAAAGAACTATAAGTTTTCTGAAGGAAAATTTCATAGAGGTTATAGGGATGAAACTGTACAATTATTCATTGAAAAGAAATTCACAACTAATTACGAGTTGAGAAAAACAGGTCATACAACAGTATATGGAGAATGATCACATTGTCAGTACATAATATATAATCACATTTCTGGTACAAAATTTATATTTTATGCATATGCAGAGGTAATGAGCTGAGGGGATGATGCTAACCTATTATTAGTGACCTTTGGATGATATGATTATGACTGATTTTAATTCTAATTTTTTCCAGTTGTTTTTAGTCTATGCTAATTTTGTTAAGATATTTATTTTAAAAAGCACTTTGAAATACTTCCTAAAAATAAACAAGATATTTTGGTTGTAGACAGTTTATTAAACAATAACCGTTTGTGTGGAAACAAACTGTGGTGAGGTCTAACTATGATTTTAGAAAGCTATTATTGAATAAAGAGTAATAGAGTATACATGTGAGACAGTTCATATTTCTGACAAGTGTTCCACTTTTACTTTCTGGTTATAGAAAAGTTATAGCATTATAAATAGTGATCGATGCCCCAGATATATCCTTTAGAAGAGTGCCTCATGGGGAGTTACATTAAAGATGTATGCAGTCGGTAATGAATATTGCACTTCAGATTTTGAAAACCAAAGCAGTAAGTTCCTTTTAGAGACAGAATGGGTCTTGGGACCCACACTGAGTTGAGGGTTCATAGAAAACCTGTTTTTCAGGTTTCTGAAAAACATTAGTGAGAGATAAGTAAATAATGTCAAAACAGGTTGTTGCCAGGATG